TGCTTCCAGGAATACACTCTGCCCTGGCCAGGCCACAGCCCAATTAGGCTCCGTTCTGGGCGCCACTGCTGAGGAAGGAAACTGATAAGTTGGACAAAAACCAGGATGGTGAAGGGCTTAGGGTCCATTCAATAGGAGGCCAGGTTGAGAGCTGAGACTGCCCAGCCCAGCCCAGTGTCTGGCCCGTGGTAGGAGCTTAACAGAGGCCTGATTGATTGACTGACTGAGATTGCTGGAGGAAGGGCCCGAAAGCCAGGGAGAAGAAAGGTGGGATGAGCAATGCAAAGAGACAAATCAATCCAACCAATGCGGGTTCCCAAATGGTGCAGGGCTGCCTCAAAGGAACTGGGAAGGCCTCTTCTTGGAGGCCTTCAAGCAAAGGCTGGATGACCACTTGCCATATAGGTTATAATGGAGATTCTTTCCATCAAATGAAAGGAGCACTAGGGATTCTAAGAGGCAGCGGTGAGGAAGGAGTGAACTGCAGGCCTGGAGATGGGAGAACAGGGATGAGAAAAGTGCCATGAGGGAGGAACAGTAGGAAGCCAGTTTGCCTGGATGAGTGTGCATGAATGTAACAAGGCTAGAAAGAGAGACTGGGAAGCAGGTGGTGAAGGGCTTTAAATGACCCAAAGAGGAGTTTCTATTTGATCCGACAGCAATGTGGAAGCAATGCAGCTTCCTGAGTAGGGGAGGCACCTGGGAAAATCCCCTTGGAATGGGGAAAGCCTGGAGGCAGGCACACCAGTGAGGAGGCTACTCTAAGCAGGTTGGAGGAGTCCTGAGGGCCTGGACTAGGGTGGCAGCTATGGGGCTGAAGAGGAGAGGACAGGGGCTGAGTCTTGAAACATGAGTAAGACTGCAGTGGTGGAAGCCACAAGGGAAAAAAGCTTTTTCTTTTTTCTTATTCTAGGAATTTGGCCATGAAGGGAGGAGAGATGCAGGCCAATAGCTCCAGCAGGCAACGATGTCAAGAGAAGGCCTGGACGTGTGTGGAGGCCACATGTAAAGGGATAGTGGATAAAGGACGAAGAGTAGAGAGGCAGAAGATGATGAAAGGGAAAAGCTTGCAGAGGAGGCTGGAGTGAATAGGTTCAAGGACACAATGAGAGGACTTGGTCTTGTAGAAAAGGACCATTTTCTTCGTCAGACTGGAGCAAAGGAGAGAAAGGGGGATGATTTTGAGAGTTAGACGACCTAAGATCCAATCCTGACTACATGTATGCCTTTGGACAAGTCCCGTCCCTTCTGTGGGCCCTACTTTACTCCTCTTTAAAATGAGGGCATAAATCAGTCCACAATTGAGAGTCCTTTTTGGTTCTACATCCTATGAGGTTCCCTACACTGTGCCCTCATACAGCTTCTTCTCTTTTTCCAGCCATGAGAGGCTGGCATTGGCTTGAAGCCCCAATCTCCAAGGTGATCCATGGAAGGCCTATTTGTAGAGACAAAGGGGAAAAGTGAAATCAAACTGGATGGAGACATAGGAACCTTGTACCCCATTCCTGGTTCTGCTCCTAACTGTATGGCCTTGGGCAAGTCACTTAACCTTGACAGGCCTCAGGTTCCTCATCTGTAAAAGGGGGATTAGGACACCCAATAGGATCAGTGGTAAATAGGAACAGCTCCTGGTAAACCTCAAAGTGCTGCAGAAATGGGAAGAGTTATTATGGTTATCATTAGTTGACCTCTAAGGTCACTGTTGGTTGACATCCTACAGTTCTATTTTTGGAGGTGAGTTTCCCCTCTTTTCCTGGAGCATCCTGGGGGGAGGGGAGATGCTGGAAAGAGCACTAGAGGTAGAGGCAGCATGCCTCAGCTCACATCCCAGTTCTGCTACTAAGCTATGTGACCTTGGGTCATACTCTTCCTCTCTCTGAGCCTCAGTTTCCTCATCTGTAAAAATATGAGGAAATAGTATTTATACTAGGGTGAAGAGGGGAGCAGTTTAGTAATTGCAAAATGACCCAGAATACAAGCAGAGAAAAGAGAAAGGAAGAAGGAAGGGCCCGAGGGCCTAGATAAACACTGAGGGAGAGGAATGGCCTGCAGACTTGCTGGGGCACAGAGCTTCAGTCTATTTTCCATTTGAATGACATGGTCATTGTATCCAGCCTCATTTCCTTCCCTGCCAGGTTTATCTGTGGAATGGATGCCCAGAATTTGGGTCTAGAGTAATTTGAATATTTCTGCTGCTCACTGGTAGGATTTTCCATCAGCACATATTCATCGAGGCTTTAAGGTTCCAAACTGCCATACATACATGACCTCTTTGGACCCCCACAGCAGTGAGATAGCGAGGACAGCATCACCCCCATCTTACAAATGGGCAAACAGAGTCAGGAAAGTGACTTGGCCAAGGTCACAAAGCAATGGCTGAGTTGGGATGAGTAGCCAGTTCTCCTGACCCCCCCCTGAAGCCTGGTAGTGCTGCCTTTCCTCCTCTGGAGCACCTCTGATCAGAGATTGGGTAGGGAAGGGTGGAAACCATTGATGAGAGTGTGGTTTAAGAGTTCTGAGATGGAGTCATTCATCAGCCCTCCCCTTTCCCCTGAAAACTAGCTGTGGCCTAGTCAATTCTTTGGAGAGCTCAACAGCTTCTTGCTGGGGATTCCCAATCCCTTGCACAGGTTCATGTTATATTACCAACTCAAGAAGTGCATGTGCAGAGATAGCTGAACTCCCCCCTGCCCACCCGCCCCAGCCAGGTTGGTGCAGCTAAGCATCTAAATGGACCATCATAAGTGGCTTAAGTGCTGGCACCATCCATCGTCTGGGCTGCCAATCCAGGGTCAGATGCTGAGAAAGTGTTACTATGGATGTAGATGCAGGTACAGTAAAGCCTGCCCAGCTGAGGTCACAAAAGGAATAATCAGCCCTGATTCTTCAGCACAGGATTCAGTCTGTGCTGTTGGATAGCTGGAAGAGAGCTCAGAATGTAACCCTTTAAAGGGAGCAGGCCACTGAGGCCCAGAACTCCCGCCATGGCCTATGTGGGATCCCGCTGAACAGATCTGACACCCAGGCCAGGCCTGTCTCTGTCTGTATTGAGAGAGAGCCACACATCAAATGACCCTCTGGGCTAGTTCCCCAGTTTCTCTTCCCAGGCCCCTCAGTGCCAAGACCAGTTCCTCCCCTCCCAGATACACAGTGACTCCAAAGGCTGGGAAAGGAGGGCAAGAATGGGGAGCAAACGCCCACTAAGAGAGGGATGATGCAGGGAAAAACCTAACCCTGGAGAGGTTCAGAGTCAGTCTGCTGCCTGGAATTGTAGCCCTAGTCTTCCTGGCCCTTAGTTTGACGATGGTGGGGAAAAGCAAGGTTTGGGACAGCTGGTCTGGGTCTTGGGCAGTCACTGAACACTGCCTAGGGTCCGTCTGTGTACAGCTACAGAGGAAAGAAATTGATGTTTCCTCATCATCAGCTCCAGAGTCCAAGGCTCTCCAGGAGTCAGTTCCTCACTGACAGGGAACCGGAAGAAAAGGGAGAAGAATCAGGCAGGGCTTGCAAACTTGCTATGGGTTAATAGTGAGGAGGGACCATATGTCCACTCTGCCTCAGCACAGTTCCCATGTGAGAATGCAGCACAGCGACAAAAACTTGTAGGGAATCCATTTTCTAAGCCCAGAGAATGTGTGCTCAGAAGGACTAGGATTCTGGAATCCTGGAATGCTAAAACGCCAGGGGAAGAGTTTCTGGCTTGTGGAGGTTAGGAGCGTCACATGGGCCTCAGGACAAGTGGACTCACTCCCTGTATCCAGAATGGTACCACCACATCTTCCATTAGAACCTTCTATTTATCTCCATCATTGATACTAGGTGAACAAGATTGGTCCCATTTTGCATACTGAGAAATCGAGGCCAAAGAGATGCAGGATGTTGACTACTGCCAGGCCCAGGAAGGCCTGGCCCTTAATAAATTTGTATTGATTGACTGATAATGGGTTTGCTACCCTAAAGAAATTCCTCTTTATCCTGGGAACATAAATGGTCCTGGGGAAGCCAATAGGCTTCCACTGTTTAAAAAACAGGCTCAAACCAGGGACCTCACTTTTAGTTTTGGCCAATCCAATAATCCCAAAGCAGGTCCTGTGACTCTTAAAGCCACATCCTACAGGAGAATGGGAGGCTCATAAACAGGGCAGCTGGACCACTGGCCAGCAAGTAGGGGGATGGGGTTGGAGAGGGAAGAAGATTTAATGAACTACTAGTAGACAAGAGAAGGCAGGGAACAAAAGGGTCATTCTTCCCTTATGGCAGCCCAAGGCTGGAAGGCTGCCTTCCTCATGGCCTGGATGAGAGAGAGGGAAATCAGGGCCAGGAGCATGACAGAGATAGCTGAAAAGTGCATTGTGCAGGGGGCCCAGATAGGGCTACAAAATGCTTCCGCCCTGCTTGGGGGAGATTCAAGGCCAAGGACAACTAGGAACCTGGGCTGGGTTGGGAGGAAAAAAAGAGGGCGATCCAGCCAGGTGGCTAAGAGAAACAGGCTCTAAGAAAGGGATGGGGTTCAGACCTACCCCTTTCCCACCTTGTTGGTCTAGGATACGTACACTGGGGCCACACAAGCACCTCATGGGTGATCTAAGAGAAGCTCAAAGGGGAAGGCCCAGTAGGCAGGGACAAAGGGCAACCCAAAGAGGAAAAGATGGCTTCAGGCAGGCCCCAGCAATACTGAGATAGAGAAGGAACAACGTTTAGGAACCTCAGAGAAACTGGTTTAAGTCACAATAAGAAGAAACAGCATTAGGTCACCCCATGAGGAAAGCCAAATGGGCCCATTGCTAACCACTCCCCCCCAACCAACATTTGGCTGCAGGTGAACAGACACATGGCGGCACAGGCCTAGTCCCTGTTGGTCAATGATGATATGAAGGGACAACACACAGGTGGTGATGAGCAAGTGTTCTCCATTTCCACTGAGGGCAGGACAAGAGGGAACAGTTTGAAATGTTAGCAGGACAGAATGATGAGAGATCCTGACAAGACTATCTTCTTACCTTAACTGCAGTCCCATATCTTCTCCATTTGGGTGTCCTCCTCTGTGCCTGCTTCCTTCAAGGCCCAACTCAGAAGTAACCTTCTTTCCTGGTCACCACAGCCTACAGGATGGCTCTCCCCCTTCTACAGCACTGTCTATTGTCTGTTCTACTTAGTGAACACCTATAATACAAAACTGCCTTGAGACTGAGGCTATTTTTACGTGTGTGTGTGTGTGTGTGTGTACTGTTTTTCCCCCAGATTGTGAACTCCTCCTCTCCATTATAGCTGTTCAAGTGCCCCCCAAGTCTTCTCAGGCTAAACATCTCAAGTTCCTTTACCTGATCCTTACACAGTATGATGCTAGATAGCACGGGTTTGAATTCTCTCCTGGGAGCCCTCTTTGGATTGGGCTCTACCTCTTCAGGGTCTGACCTCAATGCCCCAGACATGGTCTGACCAGAATAGGGCAGAATGTCTTTCCCCTGCCTCATCCTGGACACTTGGCTTCTGTCAACATACCCCAAGACTGCCCTCATTTGGGGGGCAGCCCCTGCAGACTGCTACAGAATTTCCTGTGACCTACCTTCAAGCTGCACCTCTCTTCCTCAGACTGTGATGCTGATTTTTAAGGCAGTTTAGACCCTGCCATCAATTCCTCTTCGGTGTGCCCCGCCCCACTTGTTGAGATCTCTTTGGGTTCCCACACTGTCACCGCATTAAGGAGCTCATCCAGCTTGCCAGCATCTGCAGATCTAATGAGTATTCCATCTATGCCTTTACCTACGTCACTGATTAGAATATGAAACAGAGCCTGGCTCTGGGTCTCTCTGCAAAGATCCTGGAGGCCCTCAAGAGAAAAGTATTTTTACCCCAAAATGACATCATAGCAGACTAAGGTATCATCTCCCCCAAGAGGCTTTTTCACTTTATGGTTTTAATTAATATTATTAATAACAACTCACATATATATAGCACTTTAGTGCTCACATCAGGAAGCTTGTAAAGTGTCATTACTCTCAGGAACTAAGGTTCAGAGGGGTTAGTGACTTACCTGTGGTCACATCCTCACTGGTACAAGAGACAAGTCTTGAGTCTTCGGTCCCACGCAGTAACTGGAGATCCCTCTAGAGAATCTCCCAAACCTAGGAAAAGATTTTCTTTCAGAAGGCTCTCCCAACCTCCCCCTCCCCCATTCTGTACTCTCCTCTAGGCTGTATTAATTTAATGGCCTTATTTACCTGGGAATCTCAGTAGTACATTTGGATAGCAGAATGCAGAGTGAAGATGCGGTCGTTAGTCAACACCAAGTCACTGAGCCACATACCAAAGAAGAGGGGCCTGCTGCTTCTGCTCTAGCAAGATACAGAGTCCCCCTTCTCTGACCAGATGGGCTGGGCAGGATAACCCCAAACTCCCCTTGATCCCCCCAATTTACCTCTCCCCACACTCTTTGTCTTTCCTTACCCTTTTACCAGCCAGATGGAGACAGGTAGGAGGCCAGCTGGATCCACTTAACCTTTGATTCACCAGTCAGTCTGTAGGGAAGATAGGTTGTTAAGGTATTGCTGGAGGACTAGGCCAAGAAACTCCCCCCCTCCACAGGACTAAGGATTTCCAATGGAACGGGACCTTAGAGAACGTGAGGCCAGGCCTCTTGTTCTACAGGTGAAGAGATTGCCCAAGTTTACACAATTAGTAAAAAGCAGGGCTGAGAAGAGGGTACAGGCAAGGGGAAGATAAAAGAAGAGAAACTTGGACACTTCCCTTCCTCAATGGGGGAGGAGGCTGGAAGTATTGGTTAAAATGATGCATTTTATTCTAAAAGATGGAAAAAAGTCATTATGTATGCAAGACACAGTAGTCAATGACTACAGGAATATATTATTTGATAAACCTAAAGACCCCAGCTTCTGGGATAAGAACCCACTCTTTAAAAAAAAAAAAAAAACGGCTGGGAAAACCGGAAAAAAGTATGGCAGACAATACGCATAGATCAAAATCTCACACCACATACCAAAATAAAGTCAAAATGGGTACATGATTTAGATATAAAGGCTGATACTATAAGCAAACTGAGAGAGCAAGGAATAGTTTACCTGTCAGATCTATGGAGAACAGAGGAATTCATGACTAAACAGGAGATAGAGAACATTACGAAAAGCAAAATAGATAATTTTGATTACATTAAATTGAAAAGTTTTTGCACAAAGCCAATGAAACTAAGATTAGAATGAAGGTAGAAAATTGGGAAAGAATTTTTACAACCAGTCTCTCTGATAAGGGCCTCATTTCTAAATTAAGAGAATTAAGTCAAGGGCCTCATTTCTAAATTAAGAGAATTAAGTCAAATTTATAAGAATACAAGCCATTCCCCAATTGATAAATAGTCAAAGGATATGAACAGACAGTTCTCAGACGAAGAAATTAAAGCCATCTATAGTCATATGAAAAAATGCTCTAAATCACTATTGATTAGAGAAATGCAAATCAAAACAACTCTGAAGTACCACATCACACCTATCAGAATGGCCAACATGACAAAACAGGAAAATGATAAATGTTGGAGAAGATGTGGGAAAATTGGAACACTAATGCATTGCTGATGGAGTTGTGAAATGATCCAACCATTTTGGAGAGCAATTTGGAGCTATGCCCAAAGGGCTATAAAAATGTACATACCCTTTGACCCAGCAATAGCACTTCCAGGGCTATATCCCAAAGAGATCACACAAATGGGAAAAGGACCTACATGTACAAAAATATTCATAGCAGCTCTTTTTGTGGTGGCAAAGAATTGGAAACTGAGAGGATGCCCATCAATTGGGGAATAGCTGATAAAGTTGTGGTATATGAATATGATGGAATACTATTGTACTATAAGAAATGATGAACAGGCTGACTTCAGAAAAACCTGGAAAGACTTGTATGGTCTGATGCTGAGTGAAGTGAGCAGAACCAAGAGAACGTTGTACACAATAACAGCCACGTTGCGTGAGGACTAATATTGATAAACTTAACCCTTCCTGGCAATACAAGGATCTAAGACATCTCCAGAGGCCCTGTGATGGAAAATGTTATCCACATCCAAAGAAAGAACTATGGAAGTTGAATTGCTATTTTTTTTCTCTTCCGTTGAGTTTTGTTTCCTCTTTCTGATGGTTCCTCCTATTGGTTTTAATTTCTACTTACAACATCACTAATGTGAAAATATGTTTAATATGAATGTAAATGTATAGCCTATATCAGTTTATGCACCATCTTGGGGAGGGTGGTGGGGAGGAAGGAGAAGAAAAATTTTAAACTCAAAAGCATATGGAAGTGATTATTGATAAATCAAAATAAATTAATAAAAAAACAAAAAAAGTCATTATGAGAATACAGAAACACTAATTCAGGGCTGGTGGAGTTGTGAAGTGTTTCAACTATTCTGGAAAACAATTTAAAATTATGCAGTCAAAGTCACAAAGTTATTTCTATCCTTTGACCTTGGCGGTCCTCTATTGGAACAATCACCCAGATTCACAACTACAAACATGTTCAGAACTGCAACATCAGTGATAACAAAAACCTGGAAACAAAGTGTCTCATGGCTGAACAAATTATATCTAGGAATATAATGTAATGTTATTAAATTGAAAACACGCAAAAAAGTCACCTTGAGGAAACAACAAAACTGAATATACACAATGGTCCACGTTAGCATCGTGCCTGCCCAAGGTTAAAAAACCCATTCTGACTTTGATCAAATGGTTTTCAGAAGATCTACTTTGTGAGTTTGTGGGAGAGGAGTTGTCTGGGTGCTTGTTGGGAAGGGTCTTCTATGTCAAAGCAAAATGTATCAATAACTTCTCTAAAACAATTGTAAAAACAAGAGAAAGAATTTGTACTATTGGGGGATTTTACTTATCCAGGCACTCGCTGGGGGCCCAAAATACCCATTAAGTGAGAATTCACCCTAAGCCCTCAGCTTCAAACTAGGCTTCTAGGCTCAAAGCCAAGGAAGCAACCCAAAGTCCAAAAGAATAGATCTTCTCCTCTGAGATTCAAGTCCCTGGTTAGTCCATATCTGCCACTCACCAGGGGTGTGAAAGTCCCTTACCCTTGCAGAGAGCAGCTTCCTCACTAGGAAAATGAAGGGACAGATCCCTTCAGATCCCACTCCAGTAGGAATGGTCTAGGAGAGGATGTGGGCATGGGGGAAGGGGACACCTCTGGAATGGAGAATCTAAGCGAGGCCTGGGAGTATTCTGAACCCACAAGGCTAAGAGGCTGCCATGGCAACAGATGAAGGTGGGCATCAGGCCAGGGCCTTTACCACTCTCAACTCCCTCCCTCAACCCCCTCCCCCCACCTCCAACACACACAGAGCACAGAAGGTCTGTACCAGGAGAAGAGAAGCCAACTCTTTTCTCAAGCCTTCCATCTTTCCCACAGTGAGCTTAGTGAACAACAACATCCATTGAGCCACTTGCCCCCTCTCCTAGCATAAGGCCTCCCCAAAAGGCCCCTGTTTATCCTTCCAGCCTCACATTGGGGATAGGGGTCTCTTCAACTCTTTTATCTGAGGCCACCACAGAAATACAGTGATCTGTCAACTTTTTAGGTAGAACTATAAAATGCTAGAGCTGGAAATGACCTTAAAACATACAATCTAGAACCTTAGAGCTAAAAGAGACAATCCAAACCCCTCACTTTACTGAGGAAGAAACCAAGCCACGGAAAGGGGGAAAGACTTGTCTAAAGTCACAGAGCTGGTGAGGAGCAGAGCCCAGACTAGAAGGTGGGTCTTCTGATCAACCCTTACTACCCTGATTTAGCCTGAGTTTGCACTTGGCCTGGGATCAGCTCAGCTTCTCCTGAATCCCCTTAGTCCTGAAACACCCGAACCTCAATGCAAAAGTGAAATGGGAGGGAGGGGTTGAGAGGGTTGTCATTGACACAGTCAACCACAGAATCTCAGGTTGGGCAAGGACCTTAGGGGCCATCTAACCTGTGACTGAACATACATGAATACTCTCTGCTTCTACTTGAAGGCCCTCAGTGACAGGGAACCCATTACCTCCCAAATAGTAAGCAGAGGTATCCAAAAGCAGAATGGCCTATCAAAAGGGATTTGAAAGAATCCTTAGCCTGTTTCTGCAACTGTCTTGAGCATGATAATGCTTCTTAATAATATGGGGCACTTGTCACCAAATTAAACTCAGCAAGCCTTTATTAAGTGCTTACTGTGTACCAGGCCCTGTGATACAAAATAAATAGTGGCATAGTCCCTGTCGTCAAGGAACTTACATTATCCTGGAGGGAAACAATGTATACACAGATGAATAAATACAAAATAAGATCACAGATTTAAAGCTGCAAGAGACCTCAGAGGCTGCTTAGCCACATGACCCCTTATTTTACAGATAAGGAACCTGAGGCTCAAAGAAGTGAAGTGACTTCTCCAAGCTTACAAGGTAATGGGGTGGGGGTTAGGGGAGAACTACTAACCACTGAGGGAAATTAGAAGAGGCCTCTTGTACAAAGTGGCAACTGAGCGGTGTGCTCTCAAGGGAGCAAGGGATTCCAGGAGGCAAAGATGTGCACATTTCAACCTGTACAAAGCCGTGAAGGCCGGAGCTGGAGTGTGTGAAGGAGAGTGATGTGCAATCAATCTGGATTCTCCGTCTTGGAACTGGTTTCAGCCTGGGGCAGCATCACCAAAGGGGACCAAGAATTGACATAATTCTCAGAGTATTTAAAGCCAAAGTAGGGAAGGAGAAAGACTTCGTGGGACTTGGGAAATTTTGAAACTTCTGAAACACTGTTTTCTTCACAACACAACTCTGAGGTAAAAAGTGCAAGGCTTATCCCTCTGACTGGAATCTCTACAAGGGTAAGGACCTCTACACTCTGCATCTTCTCCATGTGCTAGATGTTTAATATTGAATTAGCCCCATTTTACAGATGAGGAAATAGAGGCCCAGAGAAGCTGACGTGACTTAATAAAGGACATAAACACAGAGCAAGCAGCAGAGTCCAGATTCAAATCCTAGTTCTCTGACTCCAAATCCAGCTGTCCTTGTATCTTCCCCTTTGCAACTGGCGCATGAAGGGTTCTTAATACAGGTTTGAATGAAATTCATTGGGCTAAAGCCCACCCTACGAATTCCCATCCGTCCAGTGGTGAAATCAGCAAAGATTCCACTATCAGAGGAGAGTTTGGGGCTCTGAATGGGGTCCTGAGGTACAGCTAACCAGTCTGCCACCATCGCTTTCAGCTGCTGCCTCCGCCACTGACTGGCTGGCTGTGACCTTAGGACAAGCCACTTAACCGCTATGAGCCATCTGTCATGTGACTGCATTCATACTCAAAATCTCTATAACCTACAGTGCTGTTATGAGGGAAATGTTTTGTAAGCCTCACACTGCCACAGAAGTGCAAGTTATTACTTTTTATCTGTCTCACAGATTTCCAGATAAAAAACAGGAAATGCTGTTTCTTTCTAGAAAGATCACATCTATCCACAAGTGATCCAGGGCTGGCAGGACTCAC